TCTGTTTATCTCAGAAAGAATATTTGAAGAGAGTACTACAGTGTTTTGGCATAGATAAGAAGACTAAGCCAATTAGTACCCTACTTGCTCCCCATTTTAAGCTAAGTACTACTATGTCGTCAAAGGATGAAATNNGTTATGTGTTTACTTTTGCAAAGGCACCAGTTAGTTGGAAGTCTACTTTGCAGTCAACAGTTGCTTTGTCTACAACAGAGGCAGAGTACATGGCTATTACAGATGCTGTGAAGGAGGCAATTTGGCTTCAGGGGTTGCTAAAGGAGCTTGGTATTGAACAAAAAAATATTACAATTTTTTGTGATAGTCAAAGTGCTATTCAATTAGCGAAGAACCAAGTTTATCATGCAAGGACGAAGCACATTGATGTTCGGTATCATTTCGTACGAGAAATCATAGAAGAAGGTGGAGTCACGGTGAAGAAAATTCATACTACGGAGAACCCTGCTGATATGCTGACAAAAGTGGTGACTGCGGTCAAGTTTCAACATTGTTTGGATTTGATCAACATTGTTGAACACTAAAGATTGAAGATGAAGACACAACCAAAATTTGTTATTGAGAGAAAATTAAAGATATGGAATTTTGCCAAGGTGGAGATTTGTTGAAATTGTCAAAAGTCCCACATCGGTGGATGACAATTTTGAATGGGAATTTCACCCTATAAAAGGAGGCCTAATATTTAGGATTAAACTACACCTCTCATTTGCCTTTTTTTTATCTTCTTAAGGCATTTATATCTTCTCTCTTTAGTATTATTTCACTTATAATTTTGGAGTGGAATAAAATATTGATTGTGTTCGAGGAAGTAGGCAAAATTGGTCGAACCTCGTAAATTCTGGTGTTCTTTTATTGTTGTCTTATTGTCTTGTTTATTATTTAGTGGTTGTCATAATTTTTGGTATAGTAATTGTGACTCATTCACACTATATACATTTGGCTTCCACTACATCCTTAGGGCTTAGAACGTCATTTTAAATAAGGGTATGATCAAATAATCATACGACTTCAAACCTTAATTTGATAGGAGAATGAGTTTATTAAAGATACCTAATGTACAGAAATAGAAAAAAGTTAGAACCCTTCCATCAAATAGTAAATTTACTGAGAACTTTATTCATTTTTTCGCTAAAAAAGATTCCTAACTCTATATTTAAAAAGAATGGCAGATTTGAGAGTATAAGATTTAACATCTATATTTTTAATGCAAATTCAAACATGAATTTTTTAATTACTTTTTGGAATAAGTTTATAAATTACGTAAAATATGTTAATTACTTTTGTAGTAAAAGACTGAAAATAATAATTGAAGAAAAAAATTGTTTCACTCTTTAAATAATAACAACGCCACTTTCATTGGGATAAATTATAAAAGCAGTACCAGGGAACAAATTTATCTAAACCCCTTACATGCACTAATTTATATGTAAAGTAGGAAAAAACCAAAAGCTGACCTAGATGTTATGGGTAGAATTATTTTTTTTCTGAATTTTGTTCACATCTTAGATCTATAAATTAACTCATCTCAATATAGCTTGTATCCGTAGAACATCCGACCTGACATAGATAATGAATAAACATGAGTTAATATCATCCCAATTGCCATTACAAAAGTAATTAGTATTTTTAGAATTAAAAGATGTTTTTTGCCGGTCATTATTCCAAAAAAATACTATCAATTCAACATAATCATCTTGTTCTAGCCGATCTTAGTATTGTTGGTTTTTTCTGGATTTTCCTTTCAAGTATTGCTCCCGTTGGACTTCTTATGTCGGGATATGGATCAAATAATAAATATTCCTTTTTAGATAGTGAACGGGCAGCTGCTCAATTAACTAGTTATGAAATGCCATTAGCTCTATGTGTGTTATCAATATCTATTGAATATTGAAAAAAAAAAAAAACAAAGAAATTTCAATTGACAACAATAAAAAATATTTAAAAAAAGGACTTGTATTGGATTGGCACTACAAATCTAATCCAAATAAAATAGATATAAAAAAATATAGATGGGAGAATAAATTATTATTCATAGGCAATGAGTTTCGACGTATTGGGTGTATCTGTATTTATAGAAGCTTTCATTTTCGTGCTTATCTTAATTATTGGTTTACTTTATGTATGACGAAAGGCAGGGATGTTCAAAACCGAACCGAAACCGTTAACCGAACTGAACCGAAGGCTTATTGGCTTATTGGTATCGGATTATCGGGGTAATGGATGGTAAACGGGTTGAGATTTTATAATTAACAACTTAACGTTTTGGGGGCGGATTACTCAATTTTCTTATCGAGTAAACCGTTAACCCGTTAAGAATTTTTATATTTATATTTTTACCCTTATGTATATAACGTACTATTAAAACCTAAATGGCTAAATCTTTTCTAATTCTCAATAAAATTGTCGTATGTATGTAGCTAATGGCATTGGCAGTCATTTTTGGCTTCTAATCAAGAAAACCTACTACAACTAACAGAGACAATTTGAACTATACATTTGGTTGTTTGGTATTGATTATTCAAAAAAATTCTATTTGGTTTAGCTGATAAACAGCCCGATAACTACCCGATAATTGTCAATCCGATACCGATCCGCCTGTTGTCTTATTGGATGGCTAGCGGATTACTACATTTATAATCCGATAATCGATAAGCAGAACCGTTAAGCGTAATTATCCGCCCGACAAGCACCCCTAGAGAAAGGAGGCATTGGAATGGTCGGATTTTTTTTAGTGAACGTGTCACAAGCTTACTCCTATTTTTTTCTTTTCTTTTTTTTGTAAAGTTTTAAATTTTTGTAAAAACGAAGAATTTAATTCGATTTTCTCTCCTATTTACTACAGTGACGAAGAATCAAATTATCACTATAGTTATTCATTGTCAGAAGGAATAGTCTAATGGAGTTCATGGATTTACCTAGGTCATTGTATGGGCTAATTAATAAAGAATTTTTATCTTAGAAACACATTAGAAAGGGCAGTGCAAGAGAAATCATACAAAAATATCGAATCTTCGGACGTCCTAAAAAAGATATGAGGTGTTCGGAAATACCGAATACTATTGGTAAGGTATATAAATTTATATATTAAATTTATTAAAATTACAATAAATAATACTTTCCGAATACTTTTGGTATGGTATATAAATTTATATGTTAAATTTATTAAAATTACAATAAATAATACTATAAATAAACCCATAATATTTAAAATATAATTAATTCAATATTAAGAACCTTAGATGTTGAGCCCTAGGGATTGTTTGGTACGCGGGATAAGATGTGGGATAAAATTTATACATTGTTTAGTTGTAGTATAAATTTATCCCATTATAAATTTATACATTACACTAAACATAGTATAAATTTAATTTCACACTGAATCGTGGATATCCACATTATTCCGTCAAACTTGAAATTATTTTATCGCACCACTCAAGTGAGATAAATTAGTTCAGAGATTATAATCTCAAGACTATAATCCCGAGATAATTTACTCCGCGTACCAAACTATCCCAAAGAACTTAAATGATTGATAGACTCGGGTGAAAAGTTAACTACTAATAAAATTTTACATAATAAATACGTACATATTAGGCAGTTACTATTGTTTTAATGCATCCACATATACGAGTAAGTATTTCTAGAAATGATCTATTTTAATGTTCGATATATTTTTGTCTTAAATAGTGTTGATTGTCACAAGTGGAGTCCTTTCAAGTTTCTAAAATTAAATGGGTTGACACAATATCAATTATCACATGAACATTTGATCCCAACTCCCATATTATATATAGCTATCTGTTCTTTTTCCCCCCTGACCTCACTCAAAATTAAAACACCTTTGCACCCACCTCATCCTCATGCAATCTCTGATTAGTTCGACCTTTTGATATTTCTTTTATTTTCCCCAAGTGTCTGATAATTTAATTGAATATTGAATTGTTACTGTCCAAGAAAATCCCTCCCTTTTTATTTCTAAATCTTGACCCATTTGTACATCAACTTGTACCTCTTCATATCTTCACGTCCTTTCTTCTTCCTATCTCTCTCTCTCCTGCACCGAAATAAAAAAGATACAATTTTTACTTCACCCCATTAATTGTTAATGCAAGTATTATACTAGAGGTCTTCCAAAGTTTCCAAGTTTTGCCGGTTAAGCCAGGTTTAATACTTTAATTATTGTTCAGTGTTTCATGTCTTAATTGCCGTTAATTATTGCACTGTTAACTTATTTTTCCTACTTGTTTGCTTTATACTCCATTCCTACTCTGTGCATTGAATAAAGTCTAGATCTTTATGTTTTTTCTTTATTTTATTCATATTTTCTTGCTTCCTTGAACTGGGGTTATCTTTCTTTTTAAGTTTGATGCTTCCTTTGTACATTTCTGGAAACATTTCCAAATGGGTTGTTAGAGATTTTAGGCTTTTTAATTTTACTGAAACTGTTAGTTGAAAGTTTTGAAACTTGAGATTTGAATGGGGACTGGGGATTTTGTCTTGTTTTAAGAATTTTGTGGTATATTTTATTGAAGTTCATAGCAAAACTGAATTTTCCCTTTCTTTGTATTGTTTGCTAGTTCATTAACTTACAAAAGTTTACTTATCTTTTTGCTTAGGTAAATATCACATGCCTCACCGTGAATTTAGCTAGGATTTGAGTGCTTCTATGCAGTTGCCAAATGTCAAATTTTGTTGGTTTCTTGAGGTAGCTTAAGAAGCTGATGTTGCTTTTTGTTGTTGCAAAGTAGAAGTCAGATTTGAGTAAATGTACATTGAATGTGAGAGGTTGTGACAAGGTTCGGAGTAGGAAAGGCAGATTACGGTTGAGGCCTTTTATATTTTTGGGATCACTAGATTACAAGCTTCCAGGAAGGATTGTGTCTAAGATAGTCCGATATAAATCCAATATACTGGAGGAATTTGTCGATACATTGGTAGCTGCAGTTTTAGGTTCAAGCCTTTTTTTAGAGATATTGTGAACCAAGGAGCAAAAGTGCAATTTGAAAATGGGGCAGTATGCACCAGTCTGGGATCATACAGCAGCAATTGAGGTAACAAAAGATTGGAATGGGATTGATCAGGTTTTGCTTCGTAACTCTCAGGGTGCCTCTTTACGGGTTAGATTCTGTAAACTCTCTCTTACTTCAATTAGATCTTATGAATTTATGATTCTAATATCATCTGTTAAATCACTTATGAAAGAAATCATCTTTGAAATCCCCCATCCATTACATACTCGTTAACAGTTTTTATAAACTGCTTCAGATTGGAATGTGTTCTCCAATTAGCAGACCTTTACAACCCCCACCCAAACCTCCATATGGTTATTGACAATATCCTTTAATTCAGGTTAGCTTGCAAGGAGGACAAGTTACTTCTTGGCGGAATGACAGAGGGGAAGAGCTCCTATTCAACAGCAGTAAGGTTGGGTTTTCAATTTTACTAGCGGGTTAATTCTTATGAATAAACTAGTATCTTGTCTAGCGATGGAGATATAAAGCTTGGAGCTTTTTCTTTAAGTTCTAACTTTTTAAATCTTAAAATGTTGCAGACAAGACTTAGCAAAATTGTACAAAGTTGACTCATTGAGTGTGCTTAGTCCTACAATTTTAGCTTGATGTTTGATGTAGGCAGGATATTATAAATAACATCATCTATTTCTTACTTGTAATGCTATGCCCTTTGCGAAAACCAGTATTTGCAATTGAATAAGTGTGAAAGCTGATTATGTTGCTACATTTGCCGTTATGTCTTAGAGCATCTTCAAGTCTCCAAAAGCTACACGAGGAGGAATTTCTGTTTGCTTTCCACAGGTATCTCTAAAAGTGTAATTCTGCCTATCTTCTTGAATTTCTTTTGATGAATACTATACAACAATTGGTTTGATTATCTCAATGATGCTGCAGTATGGAAATGGCGGTTCACTTGAACAACTTGGATTTGCAAGAAACAAAATCTGGACCATTGAGGACGACCCTCCATCTCTATACTCATATGACCCACAAGGAAAATCTTTCATTGACTTACTGCTGAAACCTTCAGAAGATGATCTGAAGTTCTGGCCTCACGGGTATGATCTGAAACTCTAGTTGGTTTCAGTATGGAGCTTCGGATATTGACCCAAAAGCCATTCATTGCCTATCAAAATTTGCTATTGTCTTAACTTAAATGGATCTAGACTTTATATCTCAGAATCCTCTTTGGATTTGAAAATGATTTCATGAGAACCTGATCGTGAACACAACACCTATATAAATAACTATTATTAAATTCAGCTAACTTAGATGCTTTCAGTTTCATGAAACTGGAAGCTCTCACGATTAGTTTCTGCTGAGTCATAGTATTTAGGTTATTATGAGTTGTGACCATGATGTCAAAATAATTCAGAGATAGATATGAAAGCGAAGTACTTTCATGCGAGAAATGAATGTCAACTTCTGACTTTATTTCATGTCAAAAGTCAGTTCTATGCTTACTTGGTTTCTGACAGTTATAGCTTTCGAAGTTGCTGATGAGTCTCTTCATTATTATTTTCCAGTTTTGAGTTTCGCCTTCGGGTTTCGCTGGCATCAGACGGAAGCTTGTCCTTGATATCTCGTGTTAGAAACATCAATGGCAAACAATTCAGCTTCTCGTTTGCTTATCATACATACTTCTCTGTTTCAGACATAAGGTATGTTGTTCTCTCTCTGCTCTTTGTAACATATTCATGAATTTAATTACTGTCCTGTTTTTCAACATTTTATCACTTCCCAAACATCTTGTACTTTTTTCTCTAAAAATATTCAGAGAAGCATTTTGTTTTATGTCTTCATAATATGCTGTGTATTGCACAATAATTTGATGATTTATTCTTTCCAATATCTCTTAGACTGTTATATGAATCTTATCCACAGTGAAATAAGGATTGAAGGTTTAGAAACACTGGACTATCTAGACAATCTGTGCCAGAAAGAACGCTTTACAGAACAAGGAGATGCTATAACTTTTGAATCTGAGGTATATTTTTCAATATAACATACATCATCTCAAAACTTTGTGGTTATAGATGAGAGATGAAATCTCATCAATTGTGGTTGCGTTTGTAAGATAGCTTCAAGAGTGACTCAATATAAAACCTTTTCCTTGGTATTTAACAATCTTGGACCCTTACAATGAGCCCTAAGAAAGATAAGAGGTGATTCTTTTGTGCTTTGCATTACCATAGATTAGTCAGATTAATTCTAAATTGAACAAAGAAGCATTGATTCTGGAATATTGCTCTAAAGCTAATTATCTTGGCATGCACTTTGCAGTCTCTCCTCAACCTACTTGGAGCAACGATGCTTTACATCTTATGATTTTTTTCTGAATTTATTAGGAAGAAGTTGAAACACTCGGTGTTCACCTTATCTTTCAGAACTGAAGGCATTAATTCTACCTTTATAAATGAGATAAATCAATCCGTTCTCTCAACTGTAAGGTGTTCCTTTTATTGTGGCTTGTGAGATTAAGAAGTATTCATGTTTCTTACAGATCGACAGAGTCTATGTTAGTTCTCCAAATCGTATTGCTGTTCTTGATCATGAAAGGAAACGAACATATCTGATAAGGAAGGAAGGATTGCCAGATACTGGTAAGTATCTCAATGTGACATGGAGGAAGAAAATGTCCTCAAATGGAAGTATCCACTAACACGTGCTGCACCCTTAAGGCTATATTTTTACCTTGATTCTACTTTAGTATCTCCGAATCATGCATTCTTCTCTTAACAAACCTGCTAATTTCTGTAATCCCGAGAGAGAGAGGAACTTCTCCGTTGGCAACAACTATGCAAGGAATGTCGAATCAATACAAGGACTTAAGACATCACAAGTTAATTTGTAGTATTATAGAAACTTTTGGTGCATTATAGCGTGATAGTACAAGTTGCCAAAGAAGCATGAAAGATTTTATCAACTCTAATTTGCATAGCTAAAACCTTTTGGTATCTGTTGCTCTGTCTTTTCACAGTGGTATGGAATCCATGGGAGAAGAAATCCAAAGCAATGGCGGATTTTGGTGACGAGGAGTACAAACAGATGCTTTGTGTTGATGGGGCAGCAATAGAGAAACCCATCACATTGAAGCCAGGAGAGGAATGGACTGGTCGTGTAGAGCTTGTGGTCGTGCCATCAAGTTTTTGTGATCTTTAATTCTTCAAAGTCTGGGCAGAAGCATTTTAGTAAAGGCTCAGAGCTTAATGAGGGACTGCAAACTCTATACTAGGTTTATTTACTTGTTAACGATGATGTAATGATGTGTTATACATTAGAGTCGTTAAACTGCTGTTATGAACCGCCAAAGCCTATTGTTTTTTGGAATGGCTGTTTGGTGTTTTATCTTTTGAAAGAGAGGTTTTCGCAGATTCAAGTTTGCATTGCATTAATTATTTCAGATAAAACTTTTGTGTGGTCTTAAGTATAAACTGCATAACTTCTCTCGTGATCACCACTGTATCCTTGTGAATGGTGCGATTAATACAAAATTGAAAATGTTATTTAGTTAAACACCCTTCACTTCCAACCAAAAGCAACAAGGTAGGTTGCTCTGATGGTAAGCACCCTCCACTTGGAGGGAAGGATGCCGAGGAATTCTTGGAGGGAAGGATGCCGAGGATCATTTGGAAACAGCCTCTACCCCAAGATAGGGGTAAGGTCTGCGTACACACTCCCCTCCCCAGATTTACTGAAAGTGAACGGTAATCTTCTCCAACACCATAAATAATCTGCCTATATTGAGATACTTTAAAATGCAAAGCCATATTCCTTTCCAAGACCAAAATTAGAAATAAAAGAGTAAACAATGGGATACTCCTGTGGTCTACCATACCGAAAGCTTCTTCGATACAGTTCCGGATTAACTTCAGCCCACACTAATCTTCAAATTTAACAAGGATCCAAACAATACACATCCTACAACCACTGCAACATGACTAGAAAAGACATTAGGCAAGCCTAGAAACACTAGGGAAGATCATTTCTCCACAGGCTCTGGCAGATTTGTACGGTTAACTTTTTGATCCACCATTGTTTGGAAAGATTGCAGCAGCACAACCAGGAACCCCTTTTGTCTTTTGGCATTTGTAGCAAAACTGGAAACAACAAGAATAAAACTGGGGGTCAAATAATCTGCATAGAAAAAGTCCCTCCTGCTTTAAAACAATTAAATAGGAAAGATAGACCTACTTTTTTTAGCATTGTATCATGTGGAGAAGGTGTAAGAATTAGATTATGTAGTAACCTAAAATATATAAATTGCACTTTCATAGTTTGGCTTACATTATCGTTGCCTTAGCGGCAAGTGCCAGTTTTCATATACTTTATTTCAATATAAATGCAACTCCAGAAACGCAAGCAGAGAAAAATTTGAGACACCATTTTGCTATGCCAAACCTGAAGATTACAAGTTTATGCTATAGCCGAGAAGATGACAAAACGTGTGACCTTTCGTTTTCTATGAATAAAGATTTTGCTACATACTATCTTTCTCCATTGGACTAATTAAATGAACTTGTTAGTCTAGCCCCGTATTTTGTACTCGTTGCAATATTTATCAATTCTCAGAAGTATAGTATAAGGTTTTCCTCACCGATCTTCAATTATTTTTAACAATACATTCGTTTCTCATGGTGCTTGACTGAACATACTTCCAATTCTAAAAGCCGCTCTTAACCTCCCGAACCACAACCTCAACCCCGACCACCAACACCCACCTCAGCCCCACCCCCAGGAAAAAGAGAGAAGGAAGAGATGGAACATGTCTTTTCCTCCTAATGCTTCAAGAGTGACATGAAAGAAACAAGCAATAGAGTTCTCACAAATTATCTTTGCTTCTCATTTTCCTCGAGGAAAGCATTAGCAATCTTGACCAAGAAAGTTCGTCAGCATTATAATCAGGAAGAGTAACATCTTACCATAAACTCAATAAAAGCTCCTCGAACTATTAAAAACTATACACCTCGGCGAATCTCCAACTTCTTGGTGTTTTCCAATAATATCTGAAAAAAGAGCAATAGGAGATGCTGATGTAGAAGCTTTTATGGGAACAATTATATGAAGTCAGGAAGAAGGCAATGAGTTGTCAGTCTTACTTCCCGGATATGGCTTTCCACTGCTTTGCAGCCTTCAACTGCTAATTGCATGACATTTTCAAAAATATCCATTGGTAGTTTAGCATCCATCTGCACTAAGAAGGTTATTCATTGATTCACCAGGAGAAAATGAATGTAGTTTGATACCTTATTTCAATCGTTACTGCCAACAATAAGGAGTTAACAAACCTGCAGAAGGGTCACTTTGTCCAACTTAGGTAAAATTCCTACAGTGACATCAGGACCGCCAGCACTGTCTTCCAAGTAGTTTAGATCTGTTTAACGAGTAAACTCAACTAGATCATTCACATATCAACACTGGGAAAGACTGATAATCAGTTAGAAATAAAGAGCCGGAAAATCAACTAAAAATTTTAGAATTAATTTACCAAGAAGAGGCGTGCTGTTGAGGTATCCAGCACTGCACGATGTGACAAGATCACGCATGGGAATCCCAGCATCAGCTAGTGCC